TATCGTTTCCAAATCTCAAGACATAGTCATAAATAAATTTCAAGGTATTGTTACCAAGATTTCTTCTAAATAAATAAAAGACATTAGGCTAAATGCTTTTTATACATTATTGGATTTCATGCTTAACCTAATATTAAAGGATATTATCCTCCTTTTATACTTTTGAAAACTGCAAGATAGGCATTAATGCTCACATTTTGCAGATTAGATCCACAGCAATTAGAGACTTTGCCCAGGTGTTCCTAGTTAATGAGTTTTAAAGCCATGGTCTGTACAGATGGTACTGAGCTCTAAAGCACATGTTATCTTCTCTGTGAAATTTTGTTTTTGTAGAGTTAGCAAATGTTATGGTTATTGAGCACCTTCTGACTGCTGTATAGAGATCCTTGGATGAAGGAAATATACAGCTCTCAGTCCTACAAGCAGGGGCATTTTCTTCCCCATTAATACAGTATCTATAATCTTCCAAACACATTCATTACATTTTAAATCTATTCTCAATTTTAATTTTATTCACAATTATCAGAGTGATTATTTTCTTATTTTTAATCTAAAATGTAATCCAAGAAAGTAGAGGTCTTAAGAAACACATTATTCTTATAGTTAGTAATACTCTCTACACAAAATATTTTGCAAATAAATGATTATTGATTTGGATGAGATAGGAAATTCACACACAATGTACAGAGTTATACTTAAAATGTTAAAATAAAACCCTGCATACTGATTAAAATACATTTGTATTTCTGGTGATGAGATGTATTACCTTGAAGTTCTGTCAAATCCAAGGAAGGTTTCAGGCATGATAAGCTCAAGAAAATTCTTAAATCCAGACAGAGGTTGCAAATACATTATGTCTTATATATCTGTTTTTACATATCTTGCATGATTTGATGTTTAAAATATCTCAGTGAGGCAAATTTGGCATATTGTTATCATTTTATCTTACATACAGAAAACTAAAGATTTGAGAGGGATTAAGTAAATTTTCCAATGCCATATATATTTTAGTGCAGAAACATAACTAGAGTTCAGGTTCTGTGATGTAGTTTCCACAAACATAGCCTTTTGTGGGGCTGTTGAATCCTTACTAGTATATTCTCTAGTGGCCTAATAAACAGGTTATCTTGTCTAGTAGATCAAGGTTTTTGTAATCAGTCTTACAAAATGTGTCCTATAAGGCACAGGGTTATTTCATAATTTGGTATATTATAAATTTCCAAATAGCTGTTTATTGTGAGGAAGATTGGTAAAGCATCACAAGTGGAATGCAACTTATTATTGTAACGCAACTAGCCTCAAAGGTCCTTGAAAAGGAGTTCAGAAGAAACTTCCTTCCTGCTTTGATTAACACAGTAGCTCCTAACCACATAGGGCTTTGGAGAACACTTGAAATATGGCCAGCACAACTTTAAAAAAACCCTATTTTAAAATTTAATTTAATAAAAAATTATTACTAATTGACAAATTGTAATTGTACATATTTATGATATAAAAACCTTGTAATGATACATACATATGATAACTATATTGTTAACTATAGTCAAAATGTTGAGCAATGATCTCACAATCTCCTGTTTAACTGAAACTTTGTATCCTGTAACCAACATTTTGGCTTTTCTCCCACTTCCTAGCTTCTGGCAACCATCTTTCTACTCTGATTCTGAGATCCATTACCATAGATTCCACACATAAGCAAGGGCAGGTGGTATATGTCCATCTGTGTCTGGCTTATTTCACTTACCATAATGTCCTCCAGATTCATCCAGGTTCTTGAAAATGACAGACTTTCTGTGTTTTTAAAGGCTGAATAATATTCCATGGGCACACAGACCACTTTTTCCTTATCCATGTGTCCATTGATGAGCACTGAGTTTGCTTCTGTAACTTGGCTATTGTGGATAATGCTGTAGTGAACCTGTGAGTACAGACATCTCTTCAGCAGAGCAACTTCAAGTCCTTTGCATGCATAGCCAGAAGATTGATGAATCATGGTCATTCTAATTGTAGCCTTTAAATTTTTTTTTAAAATTAGGACCTACATATTTTTCCATAATGGCTGTACTCATATTTGTTCCCACCAAAAGCATATTAATGCTCCATTTTCCCCCATAATTACCTCTTGTTTTTTGGATAATGACCTTTCTGACAGGTGTGAGGTGATATCTCATTGTGATTTTAATTTGCAGTTTCCTAGTGATTAGTGCTGTTGGAATTTTTTGCATATATGTTATCCATTTGCATGTCTTCTTTTCAGAAATATTCTTTTTGTCACTTCTTAATAAGGTTATTTTCTTGCTATTGAGTTGTTTGCATAAGGACACTCCCATGGGCAAAACTGTGACACAGGTTTGTGTCCTCCCATGTCTGAGGGATAGCTAAGGAGTGACCTGTTTTCTGGATGGTGAGGCAGGAGACCAAGTTTGACTATGCAATCTGGGATGCATACACGTATACTATGGAGACCCCTGTGTGCAGGATGGAGCCAGGGGTGAACAGAAAGCAAGTGAGACTGAGTTCTCTCCTTTCACCTTCCAGAATAGACCTCTACATAACCAAGAATTCCAAAATCAAACTTTGTCTTCTGTGTCTTATGCAAATATATTCATCAAGTGATCAATAATATATCTCATTTAACAGTTTACTCATTTGGGCTATCATTTTATGTTTACATTCATGAGGTGTGATGGAAGTTCCTGCTTAAAATTTAGATAAGCATACTTTTTTTGGGGGGGCGGTACTGGGGATTGAACTCAGGGCCCTCAGGCATTGAGCTGCACCACCAAAACTATTTTGTATTTATTTAGAGACAAGGTCTCACTGAGTTGCTTAGTGCCTCGCCATTGCTGAGGCTGGCTTTGAACTTGTGATCCTCCTTGTTTCAGCCTCCCAAGGTGTTAGGATAACAGGTGTATGCCACTGCACCCCGCTAGATAAGTATACTTTTTTTTTTTTGTAATTTTTTTGGTTATAGATGGACACAATACCTGTATTTTATTTGTTCATTTTTTTTTTAATGTGATGCCGGGGGTATTAAACCCAGAGCAAGCGTTCTACCACTGAGCCACAACCCCGGCCCAAGCACACTTTTTGACACAGCAGTTTCATTCTTGAGTATCTAACATAAAGAAATTCTAAGAGATGTGGATAAAGATGAATAAAATAGGATAAGTGCAACCTTATTTGTTAAGGGACAAAGTAAATTCTCATTACAAGGAAAATTAAAAGTAAATTATTGTAGATTATGAAAATTATGTCAAACTAAGTATACGATATAGTCATCTTGATCATAGTATATGATCTTTAATGTGCTGTTAAATTCTGTTTGCTAGTATTTTATTGAGAATTTTTGCATCTCTGTTAATCAGAGATATTAGCTATAGTGTCATTGTCTGGCTTTGGCATCAGGGTAATGCTGGTCTCATAGAATGAGTTTGGAAATATTCCTTTTTTTGTTTTTTGGAATAGTTTAGGAGGGCTTGGTATTAATTATTCTTTGAGTTTCAGTTTAATTCATCAGTTAAGCCATCTGTTCCTGAGGGTTTCATCATTGGGAGATTTTTATTTTTTCATTCTCCTTGTTATTGAGATGTTCAGTCTTTCTTTTTGATTCAATTTTTAAGATTGTATGTTTTAGGAATTTATCAATTTCTTTTAAATTATTCAGTTGTTTTGTAGTTATTCATAATAGTGCCTTATAGTCCTTTGCATTTTTGAGACATCCATTGGAATGTTTCCTCCTTTGTTTCTGATTTTGTCCTCTTTTTTTCTTAGTCTAGTTAATTTTTACTTTTTGTCAAAAAAGCAACTCTTAGTCATGTTAATTTCAGCTCAAGTATGGAATTAAGTATGGAGGCAGTCTAAATGTCCATTAGTGGATAAATAGATAAGGAAAATGTGGTGTGTGGGTGTAACAGAATATTATGCATATATATAATCAAATATTCAGCTTTAAAAAAGAAGAAAATTTTGCCATTTGTGACAACATGGAGAAAACTGGAGGATATTACACTAAATGAAATAAGCCAGATGCAGAAAGATAAGTTTTGCATAAGTTATCTTCTATGTTGAATCTAAAAATGTTGTAGTCATAGGAACAGATAAGAGTGCTTACCAGGGGCTGGAGAGGAGGATATGGGTAGATGCTGATCGAGAGGTACAGTTTCAGAAAGGTAAATACATAAATTATAGAGAGCTAATTCAATTACATGAATAGGGTTAGCAATATTATATTGTACAGTTAAAATTTGCTGGAAGGGCAGATATGACGTGCTGTAACTATAAACAAAAAATGATAAGGGCTTGAGATGATGAATGTATTAGTTGGTTTGATCATGATCAATGCTTCACAGTGTATGCCTATTGCAAATTTTACTCCTGAAATGTAAGCAATTATTCATTGTCAACTATACCTTAATAAAGTCGATAAATGAATTTATTGGAGAGATTGAAACAATTAAAAAATAATATATATAGAATTCATGGTTTACTTTTATTTAAAACATGACATTTGAGTAAGTCAATACATAAATTTATAGAAGTTTAGATTGTTCTCACATAGATCTTAGACATATCTTGTAAGGTTAATTTCTGAGTATTCTTAGAGCATGTAGCACTATCTTGGGATGGTGAGTTTTAAATTTCAATGAATATTTAAAACTTCCTCTTCTTGCTTCCCATATAAGTAAGAAAGTATTCTTTGGGTTATGTTTCTAAAACTATATTGGTACTCAAACATTTTGGAGGAGCTTAATATTTTAGTTCCCTCTATTTTTAGATTTTACCAGGAACTTAGAGTTTCCCTGGGCTTTTCTAGAGTCACAAGAAAGGAGTCTTTCTCTTTCACATGCATGGTGTCCAATAGCACAACTCACAACATTCTTCCTATGGAATGAAACAGTTGATAATTGCTAAGATGGGCTGGAGAATATTATTTCAGGGAAGCTTGCAGATACCTGGATGAATATGTCCATTTTCTTCAATAGGTTCACACCACGCAGATGAATCCATCAAATCATTCCCAGGTGACGGCATTTGTTCTACTGGGGCTTTCTCAGGTATGGGAGCTTAGGTTCTTCTTCTTCATTTTCTTCGCAGCTGTGTATTTTATGACTGTCACTGGAAATCTCCTCATTGTGGCCATAGTGACCTCTGATCCACGCCTGCACACAACCATGTATTTTCTCTTAGGCAATCTTTCTTTCTTGGACTTTTGCTACTCCTCTATCACAGCACCCAGGATGCTGGTCGACTTGCTCTCAGAAAACCCCACCATTTCCTTCTCTGCCTGCCTGACTCAGCTTTTCTTCTTCCACTTCATCGGAGGCATCAAGATCTTCCTGCTGACTGTCATGGCATATGACCGCTATGTGGCCATTTCCCAGCCCCTGCGCTACATGCTCATTATGAACCAGACGGTGTGTGGGCTCTTCATGGCAGCCTCCTGGGTGGGGGGCTTCATCCACTCCATTGTACAGGTTGCACTGACTATCCAGCTGCCCTTCTGTGGGCCTGACAAGCTGGACAACTTTTATTGTGATGTGCCTCAGCTGATCAAATTGGCCTGCACTGACACCTTTGTCTTAGAGCTTCTGATGGTGTCTAACAATGGTTTGGTCACCCTAATGTGTTTTTTGGTGCTGCTGGGATCCTACACAGCATTGCTAGTGATGCTCCGAAGCCACTCTCGGGAGGATCGCAGCAAGGCTCTGTCTACCTGTGCCTCTCACATTGCTGTGGTGACCTTGATCTTTGTGCCTTGCATCTATATCTATGCAAGGCCTTTTCGGACATTCCCCATGGACAAAGCAGTCTCTGTGCTGTACACAATGGTCACTCCTATGTTGAACCCTGCCATTTATACCCTGAGAAACAAAGAAGTGATTATGGCCATGAAGAAACTGTGGAAGAGGCAGAAGAATTTTATTGGTCCCCCAGAGCATTGACCCCCAAGGTTAACAGAGACAGGTTTGGAGAATCTGAGAAATGCTTTGCTGTACTAACTTGCTTGAGAAAACCCATACAGTAGATAAAGCTCCTTCCCTATTGCTTGTCCATTGTTTAGAATCACAATTTCTGGAGACATAACTTTTAACCAATCTAGAACATGGGATGCTGTCTAAAAAAGTCTCAAGTTCCATACAGAAGTACCATATAGTTCAGAGAGCACCTTCCTAGATGAGCATGTTGGCCTTGCCAAGAAATTTCGGCTGCAGTATGCATGGAGGTGGTAAACCTGGGGTCTTTCTTGATACCACTTCTTGGACACAAAACATATTTGAAGAGCTCAAAACACTTGTCATCTTCCTGGAGACAGGATGGGATATGAAGGTTAAAATAAAAGTGGGATCCTGAGTCCTGATTTCAAGAGACTGACTAAATGTCTGTCAATGAAGAAGAAGAAAATTATTCAAATTAATTTTTTCCTCAAAGTTTCTCAAGGTCATTGTTGCTATCATCATTGCAGTTATTATCATAGTCTTCCTCCCCCTCATCTAAACAGCATTTGGTAAGAGCTTACTATGTCAGGAATTATATCAAGTGATTTATATTTATTATTTATTTTAACTCTAACATTTTTATGAGGTAGGTATCATCCTCATTTTAAAAGATGAGTCAATTGTGGGTTAGAGACATTTAAATAACTTATTGAAGGCCACGGAGCTCATTTCTGGAACCCAATGTACGTATGCCTACATAACTTTGAAGCCCAAATTCTAGATAATATCTAATCTTCTTCATGCTCCTAAAAGTCAGTATCTCTTTGTGAATTTTTGTTGATTAGACTCACATCATGGGTAAGAATTGGAATTTTAAATTGGACTAGGTCAAATGTGGTTGTGAGAATCAGGCAGATTGGAAATTGGAATATGGGCAGATAATTCATGGAGAACTGGACACATGAAGAATGTGGAATTGGAGAAGGAGATGTAGAGAATTAAGGTGTAATTTTCTTGAGGGGACAAACATCCAGAAGATTTGTATGGGTGAGTAGTTTTTTCTGTACCCTTGCTCAAAAACTTATTCTTACATTCAGTTACCTTTTAAGCTTTGCAGAATCACAGATTACTGCTTTGGCAGTATTTCATCCTCTGGTTCTTAAATAGACAGAGGTCTCTACTTTAGCTTAACAAGTGATAGAAAAATGATTATAGACTTCTTTCATCATCTCTATATCCTTTTCTAATATCTTATTCTCTCCTTGATTCAGATTGCTATATATGCTATGACAAAGTTTGTCAATCAAGTCTCACCTGAATTGTGAGGTTTGTACCCATTTATCCCCATATTTATACATAAGAATCTTTGTAAAAATAAAACAAGCAAGGTTTTGCTTATTTAACTTTTTGACTGATTATAATCAATCAGTGATACCCTTCATGGATGTGGGATGGGAAGAACATGACATTCAAGTTAATAAATCTGTCATCTTTGCATGATGTCATTATTCTTCACTTATGTTTTAATAAGTCACTATAAGCAAAGTTGCTTCCCACAATACAGCCAGCTGAAAAGAAATGTTTAGATACAAGGACTAGAGCATGGGTCAGTGTCCAAATAGAAAAGGCCTAGGATTAGAGAAAAGGGAGTTGGGGTATTAAAGGAAAGGACATGACAGAGTAAATACTTCATCTGTTAAAGAGAGTGCACATTAGTGGAAAGGGAATTTTAGAGTTACAATACCTAAGTCAGAGTTCTCTTCTCATGGCATGAACTTGTAGTAGGGCCACATATTTACTTAGATAAAATCATGTGTGCAAGTAAAATGTAGTTTCTTTATTTTTAATAACTGATATTATTTTCTTTACAAGGATTACTTGGCTGGGGAATTGAGGAAAATTAGGCACATCTAGTACACTTACTTCTGTATATAAAATCACATAGTTCTTTTAAGTAGATGATCATTTTCTTTACAAAATAAATCAGGCTTTAGGATTCTGCCATCTGCCTTCTGGCCTGAGATGCCTTTTGGATTCACAACTAGACCTGAGAATAGTTCTGTCTCTTGTGTTGGCCCTGGATGCTCACTGACAAGGCTTGAAGTTGGGTTTCTCTGTTTGGTCAGGGCCTGGTGATGCTCCAGTTCCAACAGTCTCATCTATGCTTTGCTTTGGGTTAAGACCAATGATGAGTCCCTTGACTTTCTCCATCATTTCCTGGTCACGGTTTTCATTCTATAGGGTGCAATCATCTTACCCCCTGTCACTGTGACCCCCATGATAACTCCACTGATGTGGTTCAGACTACATTTGTACTCTGCCTGTGGGCAGGTACAGTCAGTCATGTATTCTGTCTGTGTCTCATAGAGACCCAGAGTGGCCCTTCCTTTTCCTCACCATCCTGTTTCTCTTAGATGACTTTAATTATACCACATATCAGCTCATTTGGTGGACAGCCTGTGGGGTGAGTTCATTCAAGATGTCTTTCTGTGGTGCAAGAGAAGGCCTCCTGACCTTGGCATTCTCCTCAGTGCCACCCCAGAGGCAGTAAAGGAGCACCAAGAAGATCTCCGATCATCCACTCCCCTATCCCTTTATTCCTTTATTTCTTTTTATCATTATCCTTTCTCTTCTTGTTTTACCGTGATCTTCTTTAGGTAAAAATATATGTTCTAGTAAGTTATTCAGTCCTTGACACTTGTGTGTTAAAGTGACATTAAAAGGAAGAAGAAAATCCTGTCTTTCTTAGCCAACACACAAATTTCATGACTATTTTCTTGATATAAATTGCAAGTCTCAAAAATTATTGATGTCTTCTTTGGTCCTGTTCTCTCTTTATGTACCTTATGGTAAAATTTTTGGAATATAAAGCTTAATGGATACCTGATTTAAAGAGGCAATTTAAATGCTTTGATTTATTATGCACAAAGTATTTTCCTTTTGGACTACCAAATAGTTCTTATAGACTATACAATCAATGTGTCTGAATAGAATAGGAGAAAAGCACAGAGATTATTAGAAATTGAACAAAATGACTTTTCTTCAGTGTTAGTGCCTGTTTGAAATAAAAGTTTATTTAACTTCTTTCAGTTTGCAATGAAACTTAGGATGCTGAAAAATATAAATAGAGTTATAATCATTGAAATGATAAGATTTTTTTTAAAAAAAATATATATTTCTTATTGAACCAACCAAAACCATTACAGAAATGATAGGATTTTAAAGCTGCTTGACACAGAGTAGTTTGTTTATCCTTTCTTTATTCTGAAAATGAAATCTGATTTTCCAAGATTACTTGATTTAATTTCTACACCAAAAATGGCAGATCAATGTCCAAAAGGCTGTTACCTTCCTATTATTGTTCCTATAAAAATAATTACCTAGAGTCCTCCTAAAATAGATGGATCAGGTGGCCCAATGGGCACTGATAATGATTGGAAATTAAGACTGTAGATGAATCTGGAACAGGCTATTTGTTCATGTCCTTGGCACCTGCAACTTAAAACCTAACTATGTTCAGAGTGTTATAGTTCTTCAATTAACTTGCTTTAGGTGTGATGAAACTTATAGTTTTTCCTGCAGTATACAATAAAATATACTAACTCATCCTCAGTTTCTCATACTTAGTATGTATAGTGTCAGAGTCTATATCTTTCTCTCTCTCCCTATCCATATATATTTTTATATATTATCTATCTATCTATCTATCTGTCTACCTACCTATCTTCTATTCATCCATCCATATTACCACTAATATAATACTAATGATGGCACTTATTATCAGAATCTAAAAGTGAAGTGTGTTTGAACAGATCTAGATATAATCTGTACTCTTTTAAAAATCATATAGAATTACAGATTTCCAGAGCCAAACATAATTTCTCTTATCTAACTTAGGGTTCCATAAATGAGTTTAAGTGTTCCATAAACAACTTGAAATCCTTTGCTAAGTTTTAGGTCTCTATATAATATTTTGGGGAGGAAAGAGGTTATAAATTTCATGAAATTCTCAAAACAGATATGTGAGGGGCTGGAGTTGTAGCTCAGTGGTAGAGCGTTTGCCTAGCAGGTGTGAGGCGCTGGGTTCCATCCTTAGCACCACATAAAAATAAATAAAATAAAGATATTAAAAAAGATATGTGATCCCCCAGAATATTAAAAGTTATGTTATTCAGTTCCTTTATTTTACACATGAGGAAGACAAGGAAAAACAAGAAAGAAAATTATATTCTTAAGTATAATGCTAGTGTTGTGCTTGTTACTATGATCTCTTAGTGAAGTGTGTTTTAAGAGACCTAGATATAATCTATAATTCTTTCAGATCATACAAAATCATAGATTACTAGAGCCCAAAACAATTTCTCTTATCTAATTTAGGGTTCTGGAGACACACAGGGCCAGCAAATGGCTGTACCATTCTTACTCATTGGAGCTTCTTAATATTAACAGAGCTGCGTTGACTAGATCTGCTCATCTTTCCATCCCTGTGTTTTTCTTCAGTTTGCCTCATATGTGATCATACTGTACTTTGAGTTTCCTAAATATACTTGAGGCCCTCTGAGTCTTTGTACCTACAGCTTGTGCTGCAGGAAACACTGGTGGCTCCTTTCTTCATCTGGCTTATTTCTACCAAAATTAAAGAACCACTTATCACTGCAGCCAGAACTGGCTTTCTCAAATCAGAGGTTCTGGTGGTCTTGTTTGTAGCCCCTGTTCTAGGAGAAGGAGTCCTTACCAGGCCTCTTACCTCTAAACTCTAAGTTGCAATTTCCATGTTTAGCCTACCCTGGTTGACAGTGTGATTTGTGGGACTGAAGCAGTGATGGGGCCCTTCAGCATACACGTGGAAAAGGATCTGCCTCTCTGCATTGAGGCCACACACTGCGGCATGCTCTCAAATTCAAATATTCCACCTCAGAAGGAATGTTTCCTAATCAGAATTCTAAAATTTTGGCCAATTGGGTTTGGCTTCTCTTTGGGGGTGTGGAGACATTAGAAGAACTACAGGCAGAATGATGAGAGTTAACTCTGATATTTCTTATTGCATATTCATTCAGACTAGCTGAGAAAGTTGTAGGGCATTGCCTGAGTCTTTTAAAAAATTCTAGCACATTAAAAATATTTCCAATATATATTTAATTTCCCAATTTAATAGGGATATTTCCTTTTACTTGTGACCCACATAGTTTCCTGGAAACAGTGGACCAGTGCCACCTCAGGGCATCTCTCAGCACCTGCTTCACCTTGTCATTGCGGAGGCTGAAGATAAATGGGTTCAGGAGAGGTGTGATGATACAATTCAGGACAGAGACACCTTTGTTGAGCAGCATGGACTGAGCCTCTGACAAACGGATGTAGAGAAAGATGGAACTGCCATAGAAGATAACCACCACCGTAAGGTGTGAGGCACAGGTGGAGAATGCTTTTCTTTTCTCGGCAGCTGTGGGGGCCCTGAGGACAGTGGCAAGGATAAAGGCATAGGAAACTGAAGTCAAGGTCAGAGAGCCCAGTAACACCAATGAAGAGAGCAGGAAAGCCATCAGCTCCAGCAGGGAGGTGTCCCCACAAGAGAGCCTCAGCAAGGGCCAACTGTCACAGAAAAAGTGGTCAATCCTGTTGGGGCCACAGAAAGGGAGGCTGACCATGAGGATGGTGGGGCAAAGTACCCAGAGGAACCCAGCTAACCAGGAAGCCAGCACCAACTGGGAACAGACATAACCACTCATCAGAGTCTCATAGTGGAGAGGTCGGCAGATTGCCAAGTAGCGATCCAGAGACATGACTGCTAAGAGGAAGAAGTCGGTAGTGCCTAGGAGGAAGTAGAGATAGGACTGGATCATGCAGCTGGCAAATGAGATGGTGTGATCCCCTGTGAGGATGATGTCAAGCATCTTGGGAACCACAACAGACACCAGCAGCAGCTCCAGGAAGGATAGGTTCCTCAGGAAGAAGTACATCTGTGTGTGCAGGCGGTGGTCCATCCAGCTGAGCACTATGATTAGCAGGTTGCCTGTGACTGTTACAATGTATGTCACCATCAACCCCAGAAACAAAAGCATCTGCAGGATGTGGTTACTGGGAAAGCCCAGTAGGACAAATCCTGTTACCTGAGTCCAGTTTCCAGAGCTCATCTCCAGTCACCTGCTAGAGAAATGAAACACAACTTTATAAAATGGTCTATAGCTATCAATCATCATTTTATCAATCAATAAAATTATACAGAATACTTAATTTTGTCTTATATTCTGGTAATGTTTTGATTCATATTTCTGTCTAAGCGGTTTACAAAAACAAACCAATTATGATAGCAGGCAGTTAGTAATAAATAACATGGATGGTATTGAACACCAGTTTTGTATTTGGAAATTTATGTGCAGTGTCCCCTCTTAGCTACCCTTAACATTAGGTTTTATTATTCTCAAGTAAGAAAAGGATGAATAAGGAAGTTTAAGTGACTCTTCAATGAGCAAAAAGGGAGCAGCAGTAAAGGCAGTTTCCTAGGCAGCCTCTGTGACTCTAACACACTTGCTATTTCCATTGTTTGACTTAAGCAGAGAACCACATTCCTAGATAGTATGTCCTTGGAAGAATCTGCTGGAATAGAGGGATCAGGGAAGAAGTTGCAGAGGAAATGTACCATGAGAAAAGTTTTGCTTATACCAAGAACTGTTTCAGTATTTATGGCATTAATATGTCTTGGCATAACATAAAATAACATTTTAAAATTTTGGGCTTTTGTGTCCTTGGAGATTTTATCTTCATTAATCAACTGGGAAACCATATAGATTTGGACAGTACAAAGCTCTAATTCCATTAATAAGTGTTATTTTTCTCCACTTCCAGACTTTTGTAGGTTATAAGAAATCTCTCCTTCTGGTGTAAAATGTACTAATCTCAAATGCAACTCTTCTAACATTCATGTAGCATAAAACAGAGAGAAAGCAGGAATGTTACCAAAAAAGATAGGATGTATCAACTTGCCTCCTCAACTTTCTGCCTTACTTTGGAGATAAATTTATTTTGTCCTTGGAGTTTTGGGCGTCTTGTGAAATTTATCTACATGTTTTGAAGGATTGGGTTTCACAAGACATCTTGGTTCCAAGATTCTTTTCTTACATCTTGCACTAAATACTCAGAATTGTATAATTCTTGCCTATCAATTAGGGAAAATGTTGTCAAATATTCTAGGAGAAAAAAAATGAAAGTCATCATCAAATTACTATTTGACAAGGAATGAAGTATTGAGAGTTGTGACAAAGTTTAATCCAGTATCATCTATTAGTACAGAATACTAATGTTAAAGATGAGAACCGGGGCTGGGGATGTGGCTCAAGCGGTAGCGCGCTTGCCTGGCATGCATGCGGCCTGGGTTCGATCCTCAGCACCACATACAAACAAAGATGTTGTGTCCGCCGATAACTAAAAAATAAATATTAAAATTCTCTCTCTCTCTCTCTCCCTCTCTCTTAAAAAAAAGATGAGAACCACACATTTTCTCATTGTGCCTAAAATCACTTTAACAGAGAATATTGACTGAGGTCAGGAATCCTTCTTCAATGATGAAGAGAGGACTCAGGGCAAGTTCTCTCAGTATCAGTTTTGGAAGAAATAAGTCCTGGGACTTAAGTAGCTAGCTAATAATAAAACTTCATTTTGCTGGAGTCTGTATGTCTAAAATCAAAGAAATACCTTAATGACACTCCAAGAAGTTTGCTTGAGCTGTATTGTAGGGTAACAGTGCTACTGTGGCTATTTCCAAAGTATGGGATAAATATTATTAAAAGTAACTTATAAAGTTTAGCTGCCAGTATCATTTTCTGGTTATTATAAGATATATACACTAGAGTCTGAAATCCAGCATTCCTTTAAGAGTTTAACCCGAATAATCACAAGTTCCCAAAGACCTTCCTCAATTGACTAGCTGTATCTCATATAAATCTAGATAATAGCAATATCATCCCTGTACATACATGTTTAAATTTTGTCATTTTGAACCTCAAAATAATCTTCTTGATCAGGTTACTTAATAAGTAGGACAATTTACCAAACGTCCCACAATTATACGCTGTTTGTATTCTTGTTGGAAATGCATTCTTGTTTACATGCATTTTGCGTTAAAAATACTTCTTGACAAGATGAGGATCAGTGAAGGGAATTAGAACTATGAGGGACTCACACACATTTTTATTCAATCAACATGACTTACACAATTAGGTAGCTACTATTATTGTCTACAACTGAACAAGATGGAATATAGCAGTTTTAAGTAAAACACACACACACACACACGAAACAAACTCAGGTAGAACCAAGTTTCTGACTCTGGTTTCTGACTACAGCACAAACTTACAATCATAGTATGTATAACTATGAACCTTGAACCCACTGGGGAGCAGGTTGTGGATACTGATTTGTATATTGCATTCTTTCTTGGTTAAATCACTTAGCAACTACACAAGCAGGCATTATTATTTTCTCCATTCTACAGACAAGGAGAAAGTACTCACATTAGTAAGTAGTGGAATTATTGATTATAATTTTATTCTTTTAACCTAAAACTATTGTCTTATATGAGAGTTATCTTATGTGAGTAATACAACTAACTGTGCAGTTGCCTCAGAGCAACAATAACACAAATTTAATATCAAATTCTATTTGTTACCTTACTTCATTTGTCAGTTGATGATAGGAGTTTTTCACAGAGTAATTAATTGAGTAGTTTGAAGATTTGATCTTGAAAAAGAGAAAACATTTTCCAGATTTTCTTCCAGAGCAATGACAGGTAGAGATTATGACCTAATATGCCCTCTCCACTCTCAGGAGATGGATACCTTACCCTCATTAGATCATAGAAACTTGTTTGTCCTTGTCCTCTATGTTCTGTCACAGGCTACATAAATTATATTACATAGAAAGGGACATCATTCTGTCTGGATACAAAGATGAAGTATCAACCATGATTTATTTATAATCACCAATTCTTTATAGATCTGGAATCACAGAAGTACCTGCCTATTTTAATAATCTCCAGTAAGTATTCCCTCATGGAATTTTGCTTCTTACCCTAAGTCTGATGGATTATTAAAACCCTTCTAGAAGGTGGAGCTCTCCCGGCAGGGCTCACCCTAAACTTGTACTTATCAGACCCTTTGTTGATCCCTTCATCCTCGGAGACCACTTACATTTGGACCTCTCTCTCTGGCTGAGTGATGTGTGCTAACCTTGTAATCTCTGAGTTGGTGTCCGTCTCATGTTAAAGCCGTCCTGTGCTATTTGTAAGACCATTACTTGGTTTCGCTTTCCTCTCTTTAGATATACTCCTAGTATCTTGAAGTTTGTATAAAATTAGCATCTTATTAATCAAGTGTTATTGATTTTTTTTCCTGAGAGTGTGGAAAACCTGCATCAGAATTGCCCAGTTTGTTTCTTAGAAATGCTGATTTCTAGCTTCTACCCATAAATATACAATCATTCTCTAGGGTTAAGATCCAGGAATATAGATTTTTAACAATTTCTTTGGGTTCTTATTATCTTAAAGTTTGAAGAATACTGTTTTAGAAAGGAAGAAAAATATAGAACAGGTTTGCGTATGATTAGGGTAAAGGAATGAGTTAAACGGAAGATGAAGATACAGAAGAGCTCAGCTATGTGAAGCCTTGTTTTCTAAACTAAAAATATTGTCAACTTTCTCATGTGGTGATACAACTGACTTTAAAATGCCCTAGAGCAGCAATAAATCTAGGCCTTTGAATTCTCATTACAATTATAGATGGCTGTCTTGCACTCCAATATCCCCGTGGGTTTGCAGAGATTACTCTTTTTAGGGGCTAGCTAAATATCCCTATAAAGGTAAGACAGAACACCTGCTGTGTGCCAGGTTCTACTAGGTATTGAAGATACAAAGTTGAATAGTGTAGGAGCCCATAGTGTAATAAGGATTAGATCTATGCAAATGATAAATTTTTCATCAGAACTCAATAAAGGCCATAATAAGAGTAAAACCAAAGTCTTATGGGGGCAGAGTAAAGAAATGTACACAGTTTGTTTGGGGACAGCATGAAATACTTCATAGTATTTCATAAAGAGATTGGTGACATTTAATTGGGCACTTAAGGATGAATATTTTCACATGAAGAAGGGAAGTGAAGGCTGGGTATGAGAGCACATGCCTGTAGTCAGTGACTCAGGAGGCTGGAAGCAAGATGATCGTAAATTTGAGGCCATCCTGGGCAACTTAGACTCTGTCTCAAAACAAAAACAAAAAGGGCTGGAGATACAGCTCAGTGGTAGAAGAGCACCCACAGGTTTTACCCCAGAACAAAACAAAACAAAACAAAAAAACCAAGTGAGCCTTTTAGTTTTAAAGTAGCAAATCACAAAACTGTTTTTTTTTTTTTTGTTTTTCAATAGGGAAATGAGATTATGAAGATTATAAAATTACTGTTTAAAATATACGTACGTCATAGTTATTACATAAGTACATTCTGCTTAAAGGTAGCAAGAACAAAGTATACAGTTTGGACAATATGTATGCTTAATTTAATTAAATTCAGTGGGCTTACAGACTCAGAGCATAAACAGAGTTGACGCTGGAGACAACAGAAATTTAAACTTTACCTTTGGATCTTTCCAATTGCTCCCAGTAGTGCTACAACATTTATATGATATTCTTTATTTTAAGTAATTGTAAAATAACATGATTAATATAATTTAAAAATATATGAATATTTTACAGGTATTTACATATAAACACTTCAAGTGTGTGTGTATATATATATGTGTGTGTGTGTATATATATATATGTATATATATGTGTGTGTGTGTGTATACACACACTGTTTTGGGATGGGGACGTTTGTCTTGTGCTCTCTCAATTATAATAGATCACCAGTTATTCCTCTGCATGTAAAACTTGATCTTCACATGAAATTAGTGAGTACTTTAAAGTTTTCTGAAAGCTGGAAGCTTGGTGCTTCGGCCCCTAATGAAATAGAAAGTTGTAGGCTCATTTTCTGGGTACTTAAAAGATGAAAATAAGGTCTCTGCATAACGTCATCCTGTACTTGGTGTGCTCAAGTGTTGATCTATGTAGAAACCAACAACTAAAGAGACGGAGAGGTCACATCCATAT